CCCCCCGCGGCCGTCCGCCGCCATGGCGCGGCCCGTTCGGCGCAGCCTGCGGGCGCCGCGTGCCGCGCGGCCTCGACGTCACATCCGCTTCCGCCGCGAAGCCCGCTGGGAAATGTAGTGCCGGGTTGGGGGCCACAGCATGGCGGGGCCTCGCCTGGGCCTGGGGTCCTTTCCAGGCACCCCGCGGGGGAGAGGGCGGCCAAGGGGGAGGCAGCGAGGAGGGCAGGCCGCTGGCCGACGGGGGTGGACAGGGCGGTGGTTATCTCAGCAACATCATCATCAACAGAGACCTCATCGCTTTCTGCAACTGCCTCAAAGGAGGCTGTAGCAAGGTGGGGGTCGGTCTCTTCTCCCCAGTAACAAGCGATGGGATGAGAGGCAACGGCCTCAAGCTGCGCCAGGGGAGGTTTAGACATGGTTTAGTGGTGGGCTTGGCAGTGCTGGGGGAGTGGTTGGACTTGGTGATCTTAAGGGTCTTTTCCAACCTTAACGATTCTGTGATTCTAACATCTACTCAATTTTCTAGCTGTGAAGGCCTACAGCACTCAGGGCTGATTTAGCGTCGGGTAGACATTAAGCTGCTCTGAGGAGCTGCTCAGGCATTTGTTTGGGGCTAAAACAAGCAAACAGTGAGAGGGAAGAAAGAGCTCCTGACACGGAGCAGCTGTTGGAGAGGGGCCGTGCGGCAGAGGGGCTGCCCCGTCACCACCCCCCGCCCCGCGCTGAGACTTTCCAGGAAAAAATCTGGCTCCCTTCACTTTGGCAGAGGTTTATTTTTGGAAGGTTTAATAACGTCCGTGGTGCGCCTGTTGCTCGCTCAAAATACAGACCCTTTATTTGCATTTATAGGCAAGATTAAATATAAAACTGGCTTGGCTCCAGCTGGCTCTTGCACCAAACGTCTTTGACACCAGCATCATCCAAAGCCGTAAAGCCACTGGCCAGGTGGCAGTTTTACAGCTCCTGTAAACGAAAGGCAGACCTGGCCAGTCCTTTCTGGGACTGACCTCCCCCTGCACAAACGGTCATTGATGCTCGGCGTAAACGTGGCCGTGGCACACGCCGCGACAGGGTGGCTGGCCCGGGTTGGTGTCCCGGCGCGACTGCTGCTGCTCTGAGACGACCTGAGGTGCGAGGTCTGATCAGCCAGCGGCCTGGTTTGGAGACCAGATTCTCCTAATGGGAGAGGAAGAGTTGGGGAAAAGCATCCCAGGGCAGGGAGACGTGATGGGTGTCTCCTGCGGAGGCTGCAGACCGGGGCTGAGCGGACGGAGGCAGCCTGAGGCAGAGCCTGGGCCAGCTGACTTCATGGGCCTCTGAAAACGATGAGGTGGGGTGGAGATTCAGCTCCCGTGGTCCGCAAAGGGCACTGCCTGCTGCAGGTATATTGATGAACAGATTTGGACCTAATTTGATGTGGCCTGGGATGGTTTTATACCCCCAGGAACTGTTCTGTTTGCTTTGTTAATTAAAAAAACCCAAATCCTAACACCAAACCAACCCTCCTCCGCCCCTGTCCCTGCTCCATGCGTACAGGAGATTACAGGAGGTGCTGCCCAGGCCTCGGGCAGAAAGAAGCAGAGGGTCCCTCCTGGGCAAGGAAGCTCTCCAAACAAATGTCGCAGGGTTAATGGAGCCCTGTGTGGTGCAGGGAATTGCAATAGCACTGTTTAGATTGGTCTGAATGGAGGGTGGATGGGACATTTAGCACTGGCAGGAGAAGGGCTGGGAGGAGGGCAGGCGACCGGATTAGCAAATCATCAAGATGCCAGCAGAGAGACAAAGGGGGGTGAGTAGGTCCTGACAAGGCTCAGGACGGGGACAATGCGGGCAGAGCCATCAGCTGGCCTTATGGGCAGCACAGGGCATGGTGGCGGTGGGCTGGCTCTGGCTTGGAGGTGCACGGCCAGCTTTTCCAGAGCTCTCTGTTCTCTCCATTCTTTGCAGGGTGCCTGGGGAAACCGGGTGCCTTCGTTTCCCCCACTGTTGGGGTACCAAGAGTCCAACAAGCCCTTGCTGTGCTGCATTTTAAGGCCTCCTCTCCTCTCCCAAGACCTGGGACTCACATCCTCTAGCAGTTGGTCTGTGATTCTATGATTCTATGAAAGCATAAAGGGTTTGGCTTTTACCAATTTCAGTAGAGCTTCAAAGGGAAGAAGATAGATGAACCTATGCTCATCAACACATCCAGGAGGGACTGCTCTCAAGAAAGGCAAATAGAGTCTGTTAAAGCCCTGAGTGCTCATGGAGAAAGGGCTTGAAAAACTGGCTCCATTTTTTTCCCCCAAGTCTCTTCGCAGGTCCGCTACAGTTCAGGGTCACTTGAGTCCAAAGCTTCATACCCTCAAACCATGAATACTATTAGCAAACCGCAGCGCGGGGCCTGGGAGTAACACAACCCACTTGAATGAAGAAATCTGAAAAAAAATAATATGTATGCTGCACCACAATTACAGGTAGAGGAGGTATTTGGGGCAGTTAGTAAACATGCTAAATAATAAATAGAGCTATTCAGTCAGCAAACGGCTGCATGATTATAAATAGGAAAATCTACCCCAGCCCAAAGCCAGCTGAGACCCAACAACATACACTTATTAAGGAGTTATTTTTTTTGTGTGTGCATTTTTTGGAAGGAGGTTGAAAATATTTTGCCCACTCTTTATTTTAGGAAGGTGAAATGTCCCTGGTGGATTTCAAAAGCTAACCTCTCGGGTATGCGATCTCCGTGCCAAGACACTGAGTCACGAAGAGATTGGAGGAAGCTGTTTCAAATCCAGACAGGGGATAAAACAGCTGTAATTGAGTAGCCAGCTCAGCTCAGTCTGCTAATAACCGCACAGCCCCGTCCCTGCCCGCAGCCGCACAAGCCGAGAGCTTTGCTCCCCGCCACTTTCACATGCTCTTTGGTTATCGCTTGGGGTCAAACTTGTCCACACCTATTCCGTTCTGAATGACTGCTTGTGTCCGGGCCAAGCCCGGGTTCAGGGAGTGTGCTTGCAGGCTGGAGAGTGCTCCCCTTCCTCCGTTGTGCCCGATGGGAGCTGACAGCCTCGAGGCACGTCTGCTGGACCCTTGGGCTTGCAGGGACGCTTTGCTGCTCTGCCAGCTTCCATTTAATGTGTTTGTCCACCCATAAGGTTTTGGCATATAGGGTGTTGTAGCAGCGGGGGATACCTCTTCCATCACGGTCCGACCTTTTTGTTTGGTGGATGTGGGGTTGTTTATGCCTGTTTGGGGTTGCAGAATGAAGGGTCTTTGTGATCTGTAGGGATGCCAGGGTAGTGCGTAGCACCTATAGGGTGTAGATACTGGGAGATCCCAAGCTATTTGCTCAAGGAAGTTTCTGCCTCTGGCTGCTGGTCTTTATACCACGGTGGTGGAGCAGAGACAACAGAAAAGGCGTTCTGCCTGTTTCTCAGCTGGTGCAGCTCCTCGCCTGACCCATTTCACGGCTGCTGGTACCAGCTGGAGCGCGAGCTGCAGGCACATTGCTCCTTCTGCCTCGGCTCCAAGCAGGGTTCCCCAGCCAAGGGGTGGGATGGGTGGCCAGGGGCAGGACCCTTGTTGCCCTCAGCAGGTAACTCTGATGTGTCTCGTGATTCAGACCGTTTGCTGAAAGTGCAAGCCACGTTTAGGAGGATAATCTTCGTGGCCCAGTTCAGAAGCTGAGCTGAATTTCCCTGCTCTGAGTGCCCTGCCAAGAGGGCTTCGAGCTCCCTCCCTCCTGGAGAGCACCCCAGGGTGCCACCTGGGCTGAGAGGAGGAGGAGGGAGCATGGAGAGGGTGGGGATGGGTCAGGGCAGGGGAGAGATGGAGGTGAAAGGAGGAGGATGGTGAAGTGTTAAGGGACAGTGAGAGGAGGAGGTGGGAACCCAGGCAAAGAGAGGAGGGGGGGTGTGGTGAAGGGAGTGGTAGGCATGCAGGAGGGTGTTCTCATTCCCAAGGGAAGATGAGGCAGGGAGGGGAGAGAGCAATGGAAAATCAAAGAAGAGGAAATGACCAAGGAAAAATAAAGCCACAACAGTGGTTAGCCTGGGGGGATTTGTTCGCTCCTGAAGTTTGGCAGTCCTTAGCCCTGGCGCTGCTCTGCAGGGCTTCGAGTCTCCGCTGATATCAGCATCCCACACCACAGGCCTGGGGAGCGCTGGAGGTAAAATTGCCCACAACCAGTTTCACTGCCCTCTGCCCGCAGGGTGGGCTCGGGCTTTGCAAGGACAAGGAGCTGCTTTGGGAACAGTCTGACTCAGGAATCCCGTTTTTTTCCCCCCCCCCCCCTTTTGTTTTTGCTGTTCTCTCCCCCCTCCTCCTTTTTCTTTGTCTGCTAATGCACAGCAGATGGGAGGAAATGCCATCTTAAATGCCACAGCATCCTGATGAAACGCGATGGGTTATGGCAATCTCGGATGAATCATGGCATTGTTTTGTGTACAGGGCCGCTGCAGCTTTCTGCCCGCGATTTTGCAAATACACTTAGGGTCATTTAGGCGTCCACGCCAGCTCGGTGGCAGGTGCCCTCCAGGGTCTGGGTGTTCAAGTCGCATTAATTTATTAACTATCCGCATTTGAGGAGGCAAAACCAAGCCCACAGTGCTTTACCAGTGGCAAAACCAGCAGTTAGCTT